GCAGCGGCGGCAACAGCGACGAGGGCAGCAAGGACAAACTGTTGGACAGCAGAAGTAATTCGTTAAAATATTTTCAAATCTGTTGTTCTACAAACGTGGTCCTGCTATAAAATAAGGTTAACTTACCAATTTGTACATTTTGTTAATTTTTTTTTTTTTTGAGTTCGTAGAAAGAACGATTTTTGACTTTTGAGCGTTGTTAGCTGATTGATGCCTTGCTGTTGAATATCCAATGCTTTTATATGCCATAGAGTTCATGCTTTCAAGTCAATAAAAACTACAATAGAAACATTAATAGATTCATTTCAATAATCGTAACAATAACAAAAATGCTGCAAAAACTTTACCGAAACGTGCAAGTCATATGCGACGCATGCGCAGACGCCGCTTAACTTACTCGTAGCCACAAACAATACTATATAATAGCGCGTGATTGTGAGGGCGATTGCTCGTACACGGAGTCAACGCAGGTGTGCGCTCTTTCACACCGCATAGCGGGAGCTGAAAGCAATTACGGCGTGAAGTTCAGATGAAAACACAAAATAATAATAACACTAAAAATAAAATAAAATTAATGCATTAGACCAAAAAGGCGAAGCTCACTCTTATTTTCATTACGCCGCGATAATGCGCTCATTAGCTAGCGGCCGAGCTTTGGCCAACGCAGCAGCGACTTGGAATTACCCGCAGCCTCGCACGTCTACCCTGAAAAGGTTTTTGTGACGTTGTCTTACAATAGAACAACAAAACAACAGAAGCGAACAAAGATCTGATCGAACTACAAGACTTTTAAAAATAGAACATTTTTTTTTTATAAATCAATTTATTTTTCTGTTTAAATCTGCGTTGGTTCCTGTATCGACGTTGGTGGCACGAGCGATTCGTTAACGGAACTCTCACTTTGTTTATGTTTTATGTTATTTTAGTTCTTTTGATCACGAGCGCTGAGAATATGTTTTAGAATTTTTCTTACAGTGGTTCGAAACAAAGTGATATAGACTACGATGATTTGGATGTGTGGACTTTTTAACTTACATAACTATATATGAGTATGAGCTATTAAAGCGGCTAACCATGCCACAAACTCCTTTTTAAAGTTAATGAATTGTTAAATACTTTTAAGAATATATGGCTGTTTCTTATCAAAAAGTGAGGTGGCGGCAATGTTAAATAAATTTTTGGAGTCACCATCGAAGACGAAGAGTCAGCATTAAAGAGCGTTTTGGTCTTATTTTCCCCTCCATAAAAAGGAATCTTTGAGTGATATTGGTTTTTCCTCTTTTTCGTCAAGGGGAGCCGACTCCATATACGGTCGAAACAGTAGACATTTACGAGAATGTACTTGTATATTATATTTTATAGTTATGTCAGTAGAGGCGCTGTCAGGCGGTGAGGTTGAATACTTACCGGACCACTCTCATATAACAAATGTATAAATATTTTGATTCAATCGTTGACGTATTTCTGAGCACAAAGCTTGCGTGAAGGCAATGGTAACAAGTAAAGAAGAGCTTGGTTTGGGTCTAATGAAACATTTATACTCTCGCAACTTTCAAGGATCAAAGCAGTGAATTTTTTTTTGCGAATTTCAATAGTAAATCTGACAGGTCGTCCGATATTTGCGGTAAGAAGTTACCGTTAAGATGCACATATTCAGTATCTGGGAACTGGAATAGTTTTTTGGTTAAAATGCAGCATAGCTCAAAGGAACTTTTCGTACAAAGTTGCATTCAGATACATTGTTTGGCTCTTGAATTGTATAATGGAAGGTGAAAGTATCAGATGGAACTTAAATTGTATAGAATGGTAAGTAGGTGTGATTGCAGTGTGATTTCGCTCACTGTATTTCTCCAGACTGGACAAGGAAGCAAAGCAAATGAGTCTGGCAGTGAATGAGGCCAAGTCGAAATATCTCCTGTCATCAAACAAACAGTCGTCGCTTTCGCGACTTGGCTCTCACGTCACTGCTGACAGTCATACCTTTGAAGT